GAGATGACAAATAGTGGAAGAAGCTCTTCCATTGTTGATCTATGATTGACTTGCAAGCGGTGAGTTTAATACATTATTTATTTAATCATATCATTTTTTAATCTTAAAAGTAGTATTCTAAATTTCTAATAATTGATTTTATCTTAAAAGGTCCAAGGGTCAAGACAATGAAGAAATAATTTTGTTGGCACGTGACACTTGAAAGTTGAAAGCGATCTCATGGAAGAAAGTCAAGAAACTCATTATTGTTGTTTGTTATTGTTGAAAGTAATCTCATGGAAGAAGACAAGAAGTTCAAAATACATTGTTTGTTGCTTATTATTGTTTATTATGAGTTAATGAAAGACTTTATTGTTACTTGTTAGATTCTTATTATGTTGTATTTGTGAAGACATTAAGTTATTAACTACAAATCTACAATGCAACTTTTGCTTTAGTGTCATTGTGAATTTAAAATTTGCGGTGTTAATGCCTAATGACATATTGAAGATTTGAATCATTGATAATTGATATATTGAAATTTGATAGTAAATTAGTAATGCACTTCTTTGATTTATTGTCTATTTTTAGTTTTTAGCCCATTAAGTTGAAAAATCAAACAAAAAATTGTAAAGTTTAAAATTTTAAAAAGCCCACTAAACAGGCCCATTAAAAAACTGAAATAAAAAACCGAACCGAATTAATAAAAACCAAACCGAATTAACAAAAATCGAACCGAACCGAAATATTTCGGTTCGGTATTCTGTACGTAATTTTAAAAAACCGAAAACCAAAAAACCGAAAAAAAACCTAACCAAACCGAAATACCGAATGCCCACCCCTAGTGGCGGTGATGACTGTCGGCGGCGGTTCTGTGCTTCCATCGACGTATTAGAGAAGATAATTGGCCTCAAGGGCTGTAAGAACGGTGATTTTCCATGTAGGGTAATTTATGTCTGATAATTTTTCGGGAATCGGGGCATGAAGATGCCTGAGAAGGAGTGTAACGCCAGAAGGAAGTGAATCGAGAGGATCCACCTCGGTTGTCATGGCTGCCGCCGCCCAAGAGAAGAGAGGGAACGATCGGTGCCCTAAAGAGAGAAAAAAACCTAGAGAAAAGAAGATCTAGGTTTTCTGGCTCTTGATACCATGAAGGAATATTGATTGTATTGAAGTGTTAACCTAATAAGGGAATACATGAGAGAGAGATATATAGGAGATATAGGAAGGAGTACTAATCCTAATAGGACTAGGATTAGAAGTACTAATCCTAATAGGACTAGAATTAGTACACAGTAAATACTAATATTATTTAATACTATTTATTTAATACTATATGTTATTACTCAAACACTCGAAACCTACAACGTAGGTCCACCCTGCTTTTAATTATAGATACATATTTGACATTTTTTTTCAAATGAAGTCGTGTTTCATGACACCTCTTGAGTGTTACTAGATGCACTTCTAACTATAGAACTAGATGCACAAGAGTAAGAAACTCTTGCCCAAAGTAAATTGTAATATAATCACATTGGATTATTCCCTCTACTTAAGTGTTGCCAACTAAGATTTACTAAAAAAATTATGAATATATATTGGTGACAACAATCGTCATAAATTTCAAAATATCGTCACTAGAGATTTTCATTGGTTTTTAGTATTAGATTATAAAAATGATTCTGCTTTTTCTCTCTCTCTTCATAATAGGGATTTTGCTTTTGAAAAATCACAAATGATGTGATTAAGGAGGAGTTTGAACATATATTTTATTTTCATGTCATATGTGAATACATAAAATGTACAATAATGCATTTGTGTAGTATAGGATATTCGAGTTGAGAGAAAATTTTGGTGTTTTTCATTATAATATTGGATGTTTTTAATATTGATAGTATATATATGTATATTGATTTTAGAAAATTAGATCGAAAATTGAAAATTACCATATTTTTTTGTTGAAAAATTAAGTTTTAGTGGCGGTTTTTAGTTGCCACTTAAAATCAAAGAAAATCTTTAGTAACAATATCCTGTATTTTGTGGCGATTTTTATTGCCGTTAGGTTCTTATAATAAATTCTAATTGGCAACACTTAAATGAATATAATTAGCCTCACATGGCTTGTCTTATTACTAAAAATTTAAATTGTTAGCTCTTGGAGTATTTATGAATAACGAAGATACAACTTATTTCAAAATATAATAAAAAATCCAAATGATCTATTTCACTTAATCAGTAAATGTATCGATAGCTGTTACTCTATAAGCGGATACAAGTTAAACTTCTTTTTGTGAAGTCTCGTTCTGTGTTAAGAAAAAATGAGCATAAATTTTCCAAGAAAAAATTGGAGTAGCCTATTCTTACTCCAAGCCAATACAATGTATTTCTCGAATTAAGAAAATTAGGATTTAATCTCTTTATTAATAATCTATGAATTTGTGAAATATTCGAGATTTTAATCTCTTTATAAATATTTCATGAATTTGTGGTGGAAATATAGTATCCTTTATATAGGCATGAACTAAAATTTAGGATTGGAGGCTAGTAGTCTTAAAGAATACTTATTAGAATTGGACACACCTTATAGATTTTCAACTCAAAAATTCAGCGCCCACAAAATTTCAATGTCTATAACTACGAAATATAAGCAAGTCACTTAAGGAAAGATACTATTTTATTTTACTTTTTGAACTTGGTTAATTGAGGTATATTATCAAAGCCATGTGAAGTAGCTCATAACATGACCCATTGCCCATAACAAGAGCTGACCTAGGGTGTCTTATAATTATATTGTGGCAATAGTACAATACGTAAACAGCTATATAAATGCAAAATGCATAACAAGAAAAATCAACCAAATTACATAACAAGAAATGGGGTTTCGTTTGTTACCGATGATGATTTCCAATGCTAAACATATCTACAAACTGCAATCCGCACTTACAGAGAAGAAACGATTCGTGGTCCCAATAACGTACTTGAATCATCCCTCTTTTTCAGAAATTATTAAGGCGAGAAGAAGATGAATTCTGGTTTCATCATTCAATGGGAGGTCTAACAATACCATGCAACGTAGATGCATTTGTTGATGTCACTTCTCAATTGAACACTTTATGAAATCAACAACAACTTATAGTTCAGAATTTTTATTTTTCAAATTTTTCCTATTGTCATCCAAGAGATGTGAACTTATGTACAAAGCCATCAACAAATGTAACATTTACCAATATTTTTTGACTTTGAAAATGTATAGCCAACTTTTTTTTTCGCTTAAATTTATTTGTTCTGCTTTCGTTTTTAGTTCGTTTTATAAAAAAAAATTAACTTTTCGCATGTCATGTCAAAATCATAAAAATTAAACGGCATTTTGGTACATTTACATATCTTTAATTTAAGATCACAGAATTTAAAAGATTGAGATTCAAACCCTTACAACAAAGTGAAAGTTTAGATAATCAATCAACTAATTTATTAAGATTTTTGAAATTATCAGCATTTAATGATCAGTTAGTTAGAAAATTTTCTTTACTTCTTTCCTTTTAACTGTTGAGGGCATCTGAGTTTCATAGTTATACGTCAGATTCTAATTGAGATTGTGCATTACAGACAGTTATATTAAAATAAAAATTATGGAGTTTAAAGAAGACACATTCTCTTGTTTAATTTTGTTTTTGCATAATTTCTTATAGCAGTAAATTAGAATCTCTGTGCTGGCTTTCTCATTACATTTTTTAATGCCAACTGGAAGTCATGTTAAAATGTTTAGAAGGCATAGTATATAAAAATATACAGTATATATTTTTAATTTAGATTTAGTTGACATTTATGTTCTTCGTATAAAATTAAATAAATATTTTTAATTTAGATTCAGTTGACATTTATGTTCTTCGTATGAAATTAAATAAATAGACACACACGTCTTGTCCTACTTGACATAATATATACAGTATGCTACGTAGAACACAAAATTGTCAAATAGAATGTCACGTAAGACGAATATGTTTATTTGTTCAATTCAAGATTAAGAGCCTAGCTATTTGTGCACACCAATTTTGGAGGGCATAAATATCAATTAAAACTAGGTTAAAAGGATGTTTATGTATTATGTATGCCTTATTTAAACTGTGAAAGATCCTTCATTATCGATGCGAATTTAAATTAATTGAACTTTACTGTGAATATCGAATATTGGGCGAAAAAAGATTGCGAAAGATCTAGAATAATGGGATCAGTAGATACAGAAAAATTAAATAAGGTATATAAAAGTACCTAATTAAACTAGCTCAATCATACACATCAAATTAGTTGGAAAAATAATATAGAGCATATCTTGTAAAGGGATCACAAATCTGATATTATATCTCAGGACCATCCAAAGCAAATCTGTTTATTACTACTTTTATAATACAAATAAAACCATGATTACTAAATTACAAGATTAGATATATAGATGAGATAATATGCACATGTAGACAGTTAACAAAGAATGAAAAACTTGCGATCAATGATTGAACAATATTGGATGAATATGGTACTAATATAATGTAAGATGACAACAAGCTCACATGTAACTGTAGATCCAGGACATGTCTTCTTGAGAAAAGATTGGAAAATTACATACCTGAATTGGTAGGGCAGTTACGAATCGAAGTTACGGAGCTAACTCATTGAGGGAGGATTGTCCAAGTGTAACGGCTCAGTCCGTGATTATTTGCTATAGGCCTAGGCGTGCATAATTTTAAAACATGATACTAGTTGGTAAAATCTGCTTACTTATATACTCAATATTTCTCATGTATTAATAATCCCTCTATGCTTTGATATCATTTGTAATGATTCAACCCTCTAGAATATTGTCCGCTTTAAGCCTAGACAAGCACAAATTTAAACCGCATCACTAGTTGGTATACTCAATATTTTTTATGTATTTTTCTGATGTGGTCTTAAGCTGGGTGTCACACCAAGTCTATAGAAGTAGATCATCAGTAGATTCTCCAATTAATGTGGAAGTCTAAACAGTTCTTTGGACGTGCAGTCCCAACTACATGAGTGTGGATTTTTAGTTCAAACAGAGATGAATCTTACTCTGATACTATATAAAAATATGATATTTGAATCTATAAACATAAAAAATTATATCACGAGAAATTCAAGTTTATATAAGCAGATAATTAATCAAAACATATTATGAATTTCAGCAAGTATCATATATTTACATAACAGAGAATCCTAGGTCCGCCTACGTGGCGCCACCACAAGCAAGAATTTGCTTGTAAATTTATTTATTTCTAAAACTAGCCTTCTCTTTCATGAAAAGATGTGACTTTTATGAAAAGTTGTGACTATAATGAAGAGTTGTGATTTTTATTAAAAGTTGTGACTTTTATGAAGAGTTGTGACTTAAATAAAGAGATGCGACTTTTATCAAAAATTGTGTCTTTTATCAAAAGTTGTGACTTTAATGGAGAGTTGCACCTTTTACGAAAGGTTGTGAATTTTCCAAAGGGTTGTAACTATTCAAAATAGTTGTAACCATTCTGATAAGACACGGTAAGGATTTGTTGATACTACCCTTTGTTGTCTATACATAGTGGGATTTCCTCTCATTTTAAAACAACAAAAATTCTTATCTTCTTCTTCTACTTCCGCAAAATTAAATATTTCTCAATTAAAATCGAAAGGGTTGTGTCACATCGAGATGTTGATTCGTTTTCCTCCCGCAATGAGATGGGGAATTTTTCACCCCCTATTTTGATTTTTGGGCCCTTCATCTTTCTGAACATTGTTTTTGTCTCTCATTTTAAAATAACAAAAAATCTGATCTTCTTCTTCTACTTCCACAAAATCAAACACTTGTGTACTTTGCTCCTATTGCGTTACTTACTAACACCACAATTTTTTTTATCAATAAGTTTGTGAATAAAATCGTTTCATCTTGAGAGGATGTAATTCATTAAATCACTGATATTGGAGGAGAATAGTTTTAAGGGGACATTGTGCATTAAGTGGACTCAATTTTTTTCTTTCTATTTCATTTTAATTTTTACATATTCTGGTATGTTTTTTGCACTCATTAATTTATGATTATGATATTAATTGTTATTTTTTAGTATTTGTTTTAAACTCTGTTGTTTATGTATCTGCAAAGTTATTGTTTCCGGTTATATTGAACCTATACACATATAGTATGTATATTCATTGTGCAAAAAATAATTATTGTACTAAGTTTCAAGAACTCATTTTTGATATTCTATATTAAATTTTGTAACTTAAAGATATTTATAAGTTACATGTACTTTTTTTTACATAGATATGAAATTCTCACTTTTCAATTGACGAAATTCATTATGCAAGTTCAAAAGTTATAATTGTCTTCATGTTCAAGCGTTATTTCTTTTTTGAGTTCCTTTTTTCTTCTTTATTTCCCTTTAAATGTTTATTAAAAAACCATTGATTTATTATTTCGTGTATAATTCATTCATTAAAGGTTCTTGAGTTATGTGATAATAACAAATCATCAAATTCATGTTGAAATATTATTAATATGTTTTTAAAAACCTATTTTTCTATTATATATGATTTATGGATATTAGAAAAGAAATTATCTTTGCAAGTTAATTTCAATTATTATTTATGATCGCACGAAACGATAGACAAATTATGTAGTAGTTTAATAATTCTACAAGCCTGAGCCAGATGAGATGCTTCTGATTTGATTACAAGTTGCAGAGAGTTTTAAGGATTAGTCAACAAGTGATCATTTAGTTGAGCTTTAATGATTGAAAGATGCAGAGAGAATGACAAAGCAATTATATATGCTTATTAAAAGGCTGCTACAAGTACAATGAGTTGTTAGCACAAGCTGATAGGGAAAATATTACTTGCATTAAAAAAATAAAGTAGCAGAAAGCAATAAACTATTAAACAGAAGAAATATATATTATATTATAAAAGAAATAGTTGCTGAATCTAGGTGACGTTAGAAAGTACACAGTTTGAGCACAAAACTATGTGCTATTCTTGAAATGTATTGTTCCAGAAGTTTTCTTCCATCTACAAGTTGGGAATTGAAAAGAGTGTTAGTCATTTTGGTCCAGCATTTTTGGGAACTACTGAAATGAATTAAAGTGTTTTCTTAAAAGATAAGTTGGTCTCTTATTTATTTTTCTAGTGATTGGTAAGAAAGTAAGAAAATATTATTTGAAGAATACTTAAATATGTTATGTAGCAAAATATTACGAAGGAGGATAGAGATGGGCAGTGGGAGTTCAGGGATGGGGGAGTGGACTAAAGGGGTGAGAGTTGGATGAGACGATAAACTTGGAATGTCACTCATTATAGACATCAAAATCTCGTAGGATTCTACATGTGTAGTTTAATTTCAGTTAGGGTTTTTGGAAGCTATGCACTATACCAAAAATGATCATTAGCGGCAATTAAGAATATATATTTTTAACGGCAATTGACATTCTTTATATATGTCTCTAAAACCTTTAGCATATTGATTCTAATGACACTTAACTAATGCCGGTAAAGACTTTAGCACTGTTTACCTAAATCCTAGCTAGCTCATGTCTATATATCAAAGTTTATATATTTTCTTAAAGAGGCATCTCATGCAGAACTTCCATAAATTATGAAATATTCACAAAAATTAGATCAAGATGTGTTCAGCTTCTCGACATCATCCTAGTTCGAAAAAACATTTTCGAATCATGAAGAAATTTTAAGTGAAAAGAATCAAGTAAAGAACAAAATTATACTTGCATTGTATTATTAATAAAATCATGTTTCTTCATATTTTATATGTGATTACAATTTATTTTCTATCGCTTCAATTTGTTGCAGATAATCTCTTATGCTACTTGTTTTCCCAACTTGCATTAGGGAAGACATTTTCCTCATTTTATGACACTTCCCACCTATTAATCCCTCTACCACCATACTAAAATTGATCTTTAACGATAATTAATTAGCACTCTTCTTAAACGTTCCTAAAATGTCCTAAAATTTATAGTGATATTGAATTACTCAGCTAGGTAGGCAGACACCACTTCTTTTGCAGTCATCTTGGAGGCTGTCTTGATGCAAATAGTTATTATTACTAAAAGTGGAGTCACATGCATGTGTATGCATACTTCAATAGAAGTCTATTTGTTGAAGGAAATAAAATTTAATAAAAGCAGAACATGTCCAAATTACTTCAAAAAAGGTCTATGAATTAACAGAAACCTATTTATAGTAAAGCATTATTTCCAGATGTTCAGCATAGTAACTTTGATATTCACATCCTTATCGATCACATAGTAGTACGTACTGTTATGAAATCGTTGTACGATCAGCTATTCCCGATGCATCAGCAACAAAAAGGAGGCACTCCATAATGCAATAACTGCAGAACACACCTAGCAACTTGATCACATCAGTCTGATGCAGAACACACCTACTATTGAACATATTGCATTTTTTAATTTATTGAACTTTATGACCAAAGACATGTGGGTTAGCTCTCCCCCATAGCAACAATGTATGCTGGCAACTATATAAATATAACTTATTCCTTGTGCAAACTTCAGTGCAAGTGTTAGTTCAATCTAAATTACTCTAATATTAACATATCAACAAGTCATGGGATTTCGATTGTTACCTATGATTGTCGGTGCAAAGCAAATCCACAAGAGGCAGTCTGTTCTTACAAGAAATCATTCAGATGTTCCAAAAGGACATTTTGCAGTTTATGTAGGTGAGACAGAGAAGAAACGATACGTGGTGCCAATAACATACCTGAATCATCCTTCTTTCCAGAAGTTGTTACGGAAATCAGAAGAGGAGTTTGGATTTCATCATCCGATGGGTGGTCTAACAATACCTTGCAATGAGGATGATTTTTTCAACATCACTTCTCGATTGAGTTAATGATATGTAGAACTATGAGATAGTACTGTTGTAGAAATCAGACAATTTTGAGTTTAGAATTTTCATCTTGCTAGGCAAGAGTTGTAAACTTTTGTACAAAGTTAGCAAAGAATACAAATGAAATGTTTACAATTGTTTGTTGTTTGCTTAAAATGGATAGCCATATTCTTTATCTGTGAAAATCTCATGTATTCTTTTATAATACGACTGCAGTACAAGATAGCTCGTTTGCACTTCAACTAATTCACGAAACAGTTTACTATCTCCACAAGCACAGCGTAAAATGTTCTACATAATATCTTAAGATATGCAATCTAGGCTTTAGTTTGGCATCAGCTTAATAGTTTTTTGGTATGAATGAATCTCTATATATGTCACGGTTTTTATATATGAAATAATTTCACATGGAAAGTAGAAGTTATGTTAGGATGATTATTTGATCTGTGGAAAATCTTGATTGATTTGTTAAGAGGAATATCGATAGTGTTAGAGCTGTATTAAGGCATCAAAATCTGTTGCTGTATCTTAATACAAGCCAGAGCAAATCTGTTTATTAGTACTTTTTTTATACAAAAGCAAATCTTTATCACTTAATACAAGATAACATGCATGAATTTAATATCTTACATGTGGACAGTTAACAAAAAGGCCACAGGAACGACAAACGTCCTATTGATGATTGTGTTGGGAAAGACAAGGCACTAACAAAGAATGCCTGACAGGATAACAGCGGAAGAATACCCAAGTTTATACTTTCCCTTCTCAATTTGAACCAAGAGAAGACAAACAACCACAAGCAATATGATAGTAAGGCAGCAAGTAATTCAACCAAACAAATATAACAAGACAATAATAAACCAATCACACCAGACACCAAGATTTACGTGGAAAACCCTTCGATGTGAAGAGTAAAAAACCACGGGACCAAAAGCTTCATTATAATCACCAAGAGTTACAATATTGTTCTCCAAAATTGTCCACAAAACAAGTGTCAAACAACGAGCAACAACAAAATAAGATTGCACCAAATCTAGAGAATTAAAGGAGCAAAATCACCAATTTCGCAGCTACTGTTCACGACAGCAAAACTGAAGCTGCAGGCCACCAAATCCAACTCTGTCAGTTCCTAATCAAAGATTGAGATGAATATAATATGCTGTCCAAAAAACAGCTCAAACGGACAAGAAACGAAGTGGAATCGCAATTTGAAGTTGGCTGTTAGGGCTGAATTTTTGACTGCGAAAAAGTGCTCTTTTTTTTTCCTTTTTGGCTGCTGAAAAACTCTTTTTATATCTGAAAATAAGACCTAAATAGGCTTATATTTGCCTCATAAGAATGGGCTTATGGGAAAAAATGGGTTGGTCCAAATTGGACTTTTATTTATCCACATAGGAAGGGAAAAAGATCCATAACCCAACAATTCTCCCCCTCACGACTATGTGGAGGAGACCGCCATCCCGGCGACCATGCAACAATATTCAAACTTCCCTCTTGGCAAAGATTTAGTCATCATATCAGAACCATTGTCATTTGTATGAATCTTTTCAAGCTCAAGCAACTTAGAATCCAACACATCTCGAATCCAATGGTATCTCACATCAATGTGTTTAGACCGACCATGGAACGTAGAATTCTTGCCAACATGTATAGCAC